CGTGAAAAATATTATACATTTTTACCGGGTTCGAGTTCACATAGTTTTTATGGACCCAAGCTCCTAACTGTTCAGTTCGAGGGTCGATAAAACGGTTTTTGCCAAAGAACATTCAATATTTTTTTCACCTTTTATTTTTTATTTTTGACATGCATGTATCTTGTGCTTTTTTCCCGTGGTCTAAACTGAGGTTAATCTTCGTCATTGTTGAACACAAATGATCGCGAATGAATATTAGCTTCGCCCACTGTGTGACTGGGTCCAACATTGACTTCTTAGTAAAATATGTGTAATGATAAGATTTTTCTTGTAAAATTTGTATAAACACATTTTGAAAGAAATAAGAATAATATTTACTGAAGGTTTAAAAAATATATTTACTTCTTAATATATTTTTCAACAAGACCTTTCATTAGGTACCAATAATCTTGACCTTTTGACTTTGGATCCGGGTAAAAAATTAAGGTTACCTTGGAGATTTCTGTAATAAAAAAAAAATTCGTTGGCCATAACTTTTGAACGGTAAGGGCTAGGGTTTTCATATTTCATATATGTAATTTTTGTAAGAAGACCCTTCATTGGATACCAAGAACATTGACTCTTTGACCTTGACTTTGGACTTTGCCCTACTTTTAAAAAACAGACCTTGATCATAACTTTTGAAGGGTCATGCCAGTGCTTTTATACTTTACATATTTAATCCTTGTTACAAGGTCTTTCATTTGAATAAAATTTTTGAACTTACCTTAAAGTTGACCTACTTTTAAATTTTTTTAACATTGGCAATAACTTTTGATTGGTTAGGGATGGGCTTCCATACTTCACACATGTGATCCTTGTAACATTGCCCTTTCTTGAGAAACCAACAACTTTACTTTGGACCTTAAGTTTGACCTACCTTTAAAAATCCTATCCTTGGCCATAACTTTTGAACAGGTGGTGCTAGGGCTTTGATACATGTATTTCACAATCGTATTTCCAGAGCGAAGACCCTTTTTTGTGTACCAATATATTAAACTTGCATTTAAGAAAAGTTTAATCTTCGCTATGTAGCCATACAGGGGCATCAGTGTTTAACAAATACATCTTGTATTTCATTCATATTAAGTTGTAAATTTTAAAAATAATACTGTTTTGAATACATCTTTCTTAAGTTCTTTGAGGAAAACTCTTTTAATTTTTTTGAAAGGCTTATTCATATTTCTGCACTAGTTTTTTTTTTAAATATTAAGAATTTACAAAAAAAAAAACCCTTTCTGTTGTAACTTCTTCTTTATTTTTTTTTAAAAAAAATAAAACTATTCCTTTTTTCACTTTTATATTTAAAATTTAACCCTTGACAGTGGAGAGCCCATTGTTACCGCTGATGTCACTATTATCGTTATTCGTGACCTAATCAACCCCCTTCCTGAAATCCCTACAATGTACAGATTGATCAGAATGCCAAATATGGGTCATATTTCAAACCACAGCAAAGATGATGACAAGGTATACAGATTGTAGATAGACAGAATCCCACAATGCACTAATTCAAACTTTTCAAAGAAAATCTAAGAAATGTATCAAACAATTGAAGATTTGAGATTAAAAAAGACAAAGTGTGTTGCTATTTTTAGCCGGGCTTATTGCTTAAAAAGCAAATACCAGCTTATGTCAGGGAGGGGGTGATTATTTAAAAGTAATGTTTAAAATTTCCAATTACTTTGGATTTTAAAAGTAATTGATTACAAGCTGATTACAGACATTTTATAAAGTAATCAATTACATCTGATTACTTCACCTTCATGTAATCATGATTACTTATGATGACTTTAGATAACATTAAGTTTTTTTTTTTTTTTCCCTATTCAAGGATTACGTCATGTTTTTTTTTCTTCCTTTTTTAAATATCATTAATATTAAAAAGGTAGAATTGAAAAGGGCTTTGGTTGTATATGTCTTTATTTACATACATGAGATTTATCTTATATCACCTGATTTCTATCTTTAATACATGTAAATATCTTGTTACTGGTGAGAGAAACAGAAAAAAGAATTTATATTTTTTTTATAAATCAAATTGGACATAATTATAGGTAGGGATAAATGGATTTGATAGGGAACTGTTACACAAGTAATTGACCTTCTTGACGAGTGATTTAAACTGCCAATTACTAGATGTTTTCACTAGAATTTACACATTGACTGGACAAGCATGGATATTTCAATAATTACCATTACCCAAGCTGACCCAACTTTAGTATACCTGTGTTTATGACTAATAAATTCACATTATCTTTTCATGCACACTGTAAATCAAACAAAGTAAATTTTAGATAACGTCTTAATAAAGAAACATTTTCTATAAAAAAAGTTTTTTTTTTAAAAGATTTACAGGGAAAACAAATTCTTGCATAACACGCATGTTCATTAATTGAAACAAAAATAAATCCAAATTTAAAATCATCCTGTAGTAATTTTCTATCAGTATATACATATATCTTGTCAAAAATATCAAATTACTAAGCTGCAAATATTTTGAAATGACTACTGAATATAGCAAGGAACTGATAGTATTTACTCATTGCCTTGACAACGTATCTGATTATAAGCATTTCTGGAGGCATTAGAAGAAGATACTTAATTAAATATAGCTTATAATTTAATAATAACTTTTTTAAATAAACAATTTTGTACACTGAAAAATATTCACTGATAATCATCAAAAATCATGAATTTATGAACTATGTTTTAATAAATGTAATAATAAAATAATCAAAAAGTAATCATGATTACAGGACTTTTTCCAGATAATTATTAAATTAATTTTTAATAAAAAATTGGGGATTATATTTCATATTTTTAAAATTTAATCAATTACATATTAGATTATTTAGATTCCCCATCCCTGGCTTATGTCACCCTGTTCAAGGCAGGGAATCCACCCCATATCGCCATTTAAATTACGGGAAAAAATTTTATTTAACCGCTTTTGAATAACCAAACGCTAAAAAAACAATAAAAATAAAACGAAGTATATATAAATAAACATTGTATAAAGACTTTTAGATCTTCATTCTTAAGTCAAAGAACATAGTTCAATAGTGTAAGGATATTTGATGATAAGTGTTATCGTAGTTCTCTACAAAGATAAGGAAAAGCGGAAGGGAACCAGACTGACCTGTGTGTTTGCATTCGGCAATACCAGATTAATTCAAACCGGACCGTGGATAGTGAACTAACTGTCTTATCATTTACATTGATATTATTGAAATAACTTTTTCATCAGAATTTTAATTCTGATATTTTGTTATTTATGTGTTAATACAATTTAAATGTATGATTCATGTAAGAAATTCATTCTACCCGTAAATGAGCCCGGTTTTTACTCCAATATTTAATTAAATCTCCAATAAAAAAAAGCACTCACTTGGCATTATTGTTGAGTCGTATGGTTATATGATATCAAAATGTTCTTCTTGATTTTGCAGGATATTCTCCGCTACACGATGATTGGTTCTGGTAATTCCCAGATACAGTCAGAAGTTCAGATGTATTTTGACATTGGTCCTGATGATGGAGTAGTCTACCTTACAGTTACTCACCAATGTTCCCAGGCAATCATACACGGTACTATATTAACACTAGCAGTATCATGTATGTGTTAAAGACAAAGAGAAAATAATATGCTAATCTAAAATATCTTATGTAGAAGAATTATTTGGGAAAAACCCTTAATTATTATTAGTTAAATTGATATTTACTTTTTTTCCGTTATTTTCATATGCTAAAAAATAATATTGAAAAAGAGTGAAACAAATATTAAAAATTCTAATTTTTTCCCCAGTTATTTGTATTTGCAAGAGATCAGCGTCCTGTAAATGAAAAAACTGGCACGGCCCACAGTGAATGTGGTCATCGATTTTGATGAAACTCCCCGTTATCTTGACAACCTGCCATATGCCATACAGAGCCAACATTATAGAGTCACAAACCATAGATTCACTTCAGCCCCATGCTGAAGGGCTCAAGATCCCATCTGAAGGTAGGGGGTTATACTGCTTAATTTGACATCGTTTTCTGAATGCTTAAGATCAGACGACACGTTCCTCAAAAGTATATAATTTTTCCTAAGAATGTGTCATTGAAGTATAGGTACTTAAATAAGTTTCCTCACAAAAAATAAGGGTACCTTATCAGACATATGGTCAAGATACCATAGGGTAATTTTCTTATATAACCTTATGGGTAATCTTCTAAATGGCCCATAACACAATTTTTGGTGTACCTAAATTTAAAAACATTTTGAAAACAATGTAGAAATTAGAAGAGAATGACAAATATGAATATTTTTTATATAAAACCAATAATATACAAGACATATATTTAAGGAACATGTCGTCTGACCTTAAAATATATAGGCAGAGGTTAAGCAAGAATTTCACTGTATCTACCTTTCTGACCAATGTTCTGTGACTTTTCAAATACCAGATTTGGGTAAAATTACAAACTAATCCTATTTCAAGCATAAGCATGAAAATTATGGTTCATGGATTGTCCATTCCAGCAAAATTATGAATATCTGCAGACAATATGTTATTGAATATTATTGAGTTTTAAAGAATAATTTGAAGCAATTTGCCCTCCATTAGGTTATTGAAAGGAGAAACCAATATACACTCTTTTTGTTATTTTTCCTAGGGTGATCTGACCTATGAGGCCATTGGAATGTACCCTGCTGAGGATTATTTCAGTGTAAACTCCTCCACTGGAGCTGTTAGGTTGATCAGAGATCTGAAAACTGATCCCTCTGGACTTACAACTTACACTGTAATTCACCATTTTTCTCTTTTTGTCTCTATATGATTTGTATTTTATAGATGCGCAATTACTTTATACGTAAATATATCTTTAATGCCATACTCATTTTTTTAATCAGTACTGATATCACAATAAAGTATCAATATTAATTGTTTATGTTGCTATTAAGTTTGAGAAGACAAAATATACTTGTAAGTACACTGCATATTGTTTTCTAACCGTCTATGGTATTATTGTACAGCTGCGTGTTGTGGCTTATGACTCCCTGTTTCCACGACTAAAAGCAACAGCAGATGTTATAATCAGTGTCACCAGAAATCCATTTGCCCCTTCATTCTCCCCGTCGGCCGACTACAGCGCTACAGTACAGGAAAATGTCACTCTGGGCTACGCAGTCTTAGACATTAATGCTACGGATGTGGATAACGTATGTTACATAATATCTTAAATTTGGTAATATTTAAAGAAACATTAAATTAAACGTTTGACAAAATTCCTTTCATCACAAAACCTATACAATGCTTTTTTTTCTCCAAATTTTATGATTTATTTCATTAGGATCCTATTACATTTGCAATTGTGGCATCAGTTCCAGAGAGTGGAAAAAATTTCTTCTATCTTGACCCTAATACTGGGGTTTTGACAACAAAACAGTTGCTGACAACAACAATAGATAATTTTTACAAGGTATGATAAAATTCTGGATGTGAAGTTAAATGCTTACATGTTTGTGTAAACATTTCTTTATTTGTTTTTAGTAATGTTTAAATGAACAAATAAATAGCAAAAAAAAAGTCGGTTCACTTTATGTATAAAATGGCCCTGTAGATTTGCCAATTAATTGATCAACACTTGATTTTCTATTTGAAGCATTAAAATAAAATAGAGACTTGGTGCTTTCATATCCTATTGAAAAAATTCTCCTAAAAGTTCAGGTCTTGGAGAACTGGCTTTATGAAATTGCAATGTTCTTGAATTTTCGGATAAACAGGTATAATTGAGTACTTTCAGTGAAGAAAAATAATATGAGCGCACTCTCTGATCTAAAAAATAAAGTATGTCCATTAATCTTTAGAACCAGTTCTATCATTTACTAATTGCATATTTTAGATCAGAGATTGCGCTCTGTATTAAATATCAAAAAACAGCTTTAAAAATTGGTAATTTTTGTAGACTTTTTCAGAATATGAGGAAATTGACGCATTTCATGAAGTCATAATGCATTGACAAGCCAGAAAATGACGTCATTTTTTAGCTCTACTGGTCAGAGACCAGAAGAGCTTATGCGATAGTAAGGTGTCCGTCGTCCGTCCGTCTGTCTGTCTGTCTGTCCGTGTTTACGAGAGTGCATTTATTGGGTATTTTTCATGTCAAGATTGTACTTATTGGGTACTTTTTGCTTATTGGGTGTACCCAATAAGAAGTGTTGCTGAATATGCTTAAAACACCCTAATTGGGTATTTGCAGGTTAGTACCCAACAAAACTTGGACACGACGATTTGTCCAAAAAAGTGTCCAAAAAAGTTGCTTTCACGGACGCACCGTGTTTTGTTGTTTCAGTTTTACATTCGGAACTCTAAATTCTCGAGAGTTCCGAAAATCAACTTCCGTTGATCCTGATCATAACAACGTTTGTTTTCACGGAAAAAAAATATGGCGACTAAGAAACACTTAATGTCAACAAGATTTTCTGATTGAAAAGAGAAAAGGTAAGTTTATTCGATTAATACTTATCCATTGCTGGGTTCATGTTTAAGAAAAATAGATTTTAATGTAATTTTGAAAACAATTGTGCACAAAATTAAAATAGATATATCGGAACAATTAATCCTAAGTTGCACTTGTTTTTAGTTTGAATTTTCTCTGTCTTTTTAACTCTCTTGAGGGCGAGAAGTATTTAGTAAATGATCGTATATTGTTAGATAATCTTTAATAAATCGAAAGTGTTTATTATTTAATTTTATATCATAACCAACTAAGTATGTTCTGACAATGTATATTGGAAAGGGAAATGAAAATTTTAACAATCGTGTGTTCATAAATCAGCTGTAAATTATCGGTTCATGTAGACAGTATAACAATCGCAAAGTGAGCTGAGATGATGATAAATGGGATAATTGACAACAACTAAATAATTGTATGTAAGTTTGTCTCATCTGATATGTAACTTAAGAGATTCATTGTATTACTGAAAAACTTTCAGTCAAAACAGTGCTTCTTTCTGTCTTTGATGTTAAATCTAGACCCTAAAAAGGGCATGGTAATCAAGGAATTAAAAGGGCACTTTGTGTCGCGACAGGATCTCACGAGGGCACTTTGAAAACATGTTAATGCCATTGAAATTATATTTAACATTTTTTAATTTTTACATACTTTAACATGTTTAATTACTTTTAATATCCTTTTATATTGAAATCTTTATCTAAAACAAGTAATTTAAAGATAAATTCAAATATCTGTATTTCATTCTTTTTTTAAAACAATGTTTTAATTAGTGATTCAGAAACAAAAAGAATATAAAAAAAGGCATTTACATCCAATTTCTTCAATCAAAAAAGTAGTAAGGTTACACTTGAGAAAGTAATGGTATTAATCTAGCTGAAACAGGTGCAAAAATTATTAACGTTTGGAGGTATGATTGTTTTTTTACCTGCTTCGACTGTTATTTGTTTACAAGTACAGTCAATTTAAACATTAAAGGAAAATACTTTTTTCAGGGAAGGGGGGATGGGCATTTTGAAAAATACATGTAGAGACTATTGTCTTTACTTGAAAAATATTCTACCAACAGGATCATGTGAAAATTGGTCTTACTGCCATGCATAATTTGTTTTTTAAAAAAACTCTGGCTTTAATTAGAAACTTTGACCCTCAGCTTGTCAAATCTATCAGTTCAATCAAAGAAACTAACTTAGTTGGTTGTTTTTAAACCTTTTTATCACATTACATTCAGTTTTTTGGTACACTGTAAGTATTTTATTCAGAGAAAATATCCGTTTTTTCTTCAAGTTGTATTATGTGTTTTATTCTACTCTCGGTTTATAAAAAAAACGATCCTGATTTTTATTAGTTAATAATTTACAAATTTATTTATCTTTGGTCTAGGGCTAATTCTTTCATATTCAATGCAATCAAATGACAGTTTCTCAACTTAAATTCTCTACCCTGACAGCCTGAGGCATGTTAATTAGCCAGGTGGCTGTGTGCGTGCGTTCAAGTGTGAAGTGATTTCCTGTCGTTGTTTAAATAAAGGGATTATCAGCATGCACTTAATAAACAGAACAGCAAAAGAATATTGCATAAACTGGGCATATTTATTAATTTTGGCTTAGGAAATAAGTGCATGGCGCCGCGCTTTATTTTGATTTGTTTTTTTAAATTATTGTTTTTGTCATTTGTTTTAATTAATTTAAAACAATACTGAAATTGATATAGGGCTACTATAACTATTTCACATGATGGGTGTGTAATTAGCATCGCGCTACACCCGGAGCTACCATTTTTGAGGATGGGGCTAGTGGTTTTCTGCGCTAAATTCCCTAATATGGAAATATTCCAGACAGCATACTCATTTTATCCATAAATCTCCACAACTGCATCCATTTTGCAGTACTACAAGACTGATTTACTTAAAAACGATCTTTTATTTCCTAATTTGAATTCCCCCCTTTCCTTTGTTTAATATAGCAATATTTGCTTATACATATATGCCTCACAGATATCTAATTATTAAATTATATACATTCACTCAATCAGCTCAATGATAAGTGTCATGCAATTATGTAGCGTTTTTTAAAGCCATATATGGCGTAACTGATCAAAAAATATATTTTTGAAAAATACAAAATTAAGTAAAGAAATATAGTTAATACATTTAAATTAAAGCTTTTCATACAATTCTGAGCACGGAGAACACCTCGTTTTATCTAATAGTACGATTTTATCTTCTCTGTAATGTGTTATTTAAATCTTTTGTATTTTCTTCCAAGTCGGAGAAAATTGCGAGAATCCAAATTAAATTTTGATATCTTTATAACGCAATTGACTTAGATTTTGTAATTTACGGAAAATTTCTATCTTTATCATGTTTATATAAAGTAATGATACAAATAATAAGTTCTTATAATTTTAGTCTAATAATTTTCATTGTACATACGCCATATATGGCTTTAAATGGTTCAAGATGAAAACAAAATGATTTTTGCTTCGTTTTAATTAGACGAACTAGTGAATGACCAGAAAAGGAATACTTAAAATCTTTTTTTTCATTTTAAATCATTAATTTATATATATGATAAAATTTTACTAGCGAAAATTAAATAAAACTTTAATTTTAAAAAGAATCATCTGTAGTTAATACCCTGACTTTTTTCACGATGAATTTTTTTTCAATGTTTTTTTTTAATTTTTGCCTCTATATTTGGGCTTGTCACTTTTTACTCGGGGATAGTAACTTTATTGCCACCAAGCTGTGTATTAGTACTTGATTTCCTTTATTGCACAGGTTTAATAGCACAAAAAGCTAATGGGTTTACCTATGTGAATTTATATGATTAATGCTTACTTGTGATTTTAGGATAACTGGAGATAATGATTCCTTTTTTCCATTGATATTACATAAATATTTTCCTAAGTATTATGTTACAATAAATTGGTTTAGATTTTTTTTAATAAAAGTAATCAATAATTACAACGGAAATTAAAACCATAATCATGTTCATTGAGGATTTTCAATATGTAACAGGTCAAACTGGAACTTCGATTGTGAATATTGCAGAGAAACTCATCAGAAGATGACCCTCAGAAATAGGACAATTGTAAGTAATCAGTAAAATGAACAGGAATACTTCATGCCAACCATAAGACTTTTAGAGACATTTTCGGTTCTTAGATTAGAAGAGATAGAGGGAAAAAACTTGTACATGCTACATAACTACTAGGCAACCAACCTTTAACTACAGCTTTTGGTATGTGCAATACAGCTACATAAAACCTCTTTAGTATTCATGTTAAGTTTGAGAAAGTACCTTAGTATATTTTCTAGTGTTTGCCAACATTTTCATGCACACTGTTTGCTTGTTTGTACTATCATTTTATTTTATATTCTTCAGATGCCCTTTACCTTTGCCAGTTTAGAATCATTTGTTTTAAGGGCATCTGAGGGTTGGTTCCAGAACTTAATTAATTGTGAAGTAAATACTGGGGTACTATACGGTCATAGGTTATGTTAATACATGTATAACATTTTGTTCTGATAGAGGTGGCATACAGGAAAAGAAACAATACTAGATATCACTTCAAAGGAATAAAACAGCTTCATCTTGTAGGTGTATTTTATTTAAGGATCACTGCTTCATGTCTGATGTGCTGAAAGTTATTCATAATCTGTTTGACTGTAATTTTTCATGTTTTCAACTTCTATCCAGCTTAGTCAATTTTAATTAAATTTTGTGCAAAGCATACCCCAGGAAGGGGGGATGGAGTGTCAAGTATGTCTCTGTCCCTGTCAATATATTTTCAAAGCAGTTAGTAAGGTTTGGGTCAATTTTAAATCCTCTTAGCAGAACTATTGGGCTAAAAACAATACTAATGTGAAAGCTTTATCATTAAGTGTAGAGATGTTTTTGAAGATTATGTACCCCTAATGTACCGATAGTCTTACATTAGAAGTCTAAAATTGCAAGGAATAGATGTAAAATCTTTTTAAAATCTCCTAAACTTAACAATCAGAAACTAACATACTGTCTAATTAATATGCAACATCGTTTTGTGTTTTGAATGATGATTCCATTTTGATAAAATTATGGCGGATGGGGGGTAGGATGAAGTTGCAGTTACATGTAGAAGAAAAAAAAGAGTTGATAGAATTTAGTTTCTCTTCCATTTTATTTATCAATACATATTTCTGAATAAGAAATATACTTCTACTTGGTTGGGTTTGATCAACATAAAGGGTGATCTTGTTGTAGTCCAGAAAAACATGTTTTATACGGCAAAGAAATGCCTTTATTTAATTGCAGAATGAATAAAATGGACAAAGGCAGAACTGAAGGAGATGCATGAAATGAGGAATATTTCAAAGATTGCCTGAGCATAACCACTGCTACTGGATAAACATATGGCAATATAAAAGAGCAGGGTCAATGGAGGTATCATACAGTATAGGCCATGAGAGACCCTGAAGAAGAAAGTATTGAACAGAAACAAAAATAAAACCATTTTGACATTTATTGAAATATAGGATCAAAGTCTTGCATGTAAAATTTGGGCATGTAATGACTTTTCTCTAGCATTAAGACTTCTAACAGTGATGATTTGATTTAATATCTTTATCCCAATTTGCCGAAAAGATTTGGACATAGTGCATCAATTATTTTAAAGTTTTGATACAAGGAATTGATTCATTGTACTTGTAACTGAGTTTTCTGGTGCGACACTGTTTTATCGGCTTCAAAACTAAGTTTGTGATTTCCAAACCAGATTAATGAGATAATGTAATATCTTTTAACATTGGTGACTATTTAATCCATTCTTTTACATCTCAGAAGTATTTTTATTATTGCAGGGAAAATATGCATTGTATATATATCTGTAATAAACAGGATTATAGAAATTTTCCATATAATACAACACATTCTTAGCAACTGAAGGCAAATATTTTATCAAGAGTGTGATCTATTTATCAATATGGTTTTCAGCATCTTGCTCTACCTGTAATGACTTGCTCCAAGTTCCAATATTTAAATTTAAATTTTGCAAACATGGTTATAAAAGGCCAAATAGTTTAGGCACAAAATGCTTATATATTTCCAATCATTTGTAAAGTTTACACTGAATGAGATGTGGAATGTTAGAATTAAAGTTTTAAATATGTTTTGGACTTATGTATGCTTATGCAGACAAATTTGAATTCAACTAGAGAAGGTAAATGTCATACTTATTGGATTTGCAATCTAATGCAAGAGTATAAATATCCAAGACAAATTTGACAATTTTAATGAAGGGTATAAGTAACCCAGGAAGAATTGGACAGGTAAACATCACTTGTTGGGTTTTATTCTAATGTTGGGATGTAATATCCAAGAAGAGTTGAACCAATGTCCAATACCTATTGGGTTTTCTTTCTTATGAAAAAAAATTTGAGTAACCCAAGAAGAATGTCCAATACCTTTTAGTTTATATACTATTGAAGGGATGAAGATATCCAAGAGGAGTTGGACAGGTGTCCATTACCTGTTGGGTGGTATTCTGATGAAACAATTCAAGAAACCCAAGAAGAATTGGACAAGTGTCCATTACCTGTTGGGTGGGATGTAGATATCCAAGAGGAGTTGGACAGGTGTCCATTACCTGTTGGGTTGTATTTTATCAGGAGATTCATCAAGAAACCCAAGAATAAGACAAGTGTCCAATGCCTGTTGGGTGGGATGTAGATATCCAAGAGGAGTTGGACAGATGTCCATTACCATTTGGGTGGTATTCTGATGAAACAATTCAAGAAACCCAAGAAGAATTGGACAAGTGTCCATTACCTGTTGGGTGGGATGTAGATATCCAAGAGGAGTTGGACAGGTGTCCATTACCTGTTGGGTTGTATTTTATCAGGAGATTCATCAAGAAACCCAAGAATAAGACAAGTGTCCAATGCCTGTTGGGTGGGATGTAGATATCCAAGAGGAGTTGGACAGATGTCCATTACCATTTGGGTGGTATTCTGATGAAACAATTCAAGAAACCCAAGAAGAATTGGACAAGTGTCCATTACCTGTTGGGTGGGATGTAGATATCCAAGAGGAGTTGGACAGGTGTCCATTAACTGTTGGGTTGTATTTTTTTGAGGAGATTAAAGAAACCCAAGAATTGGACAAGTGTCCAATGCCTGTTGGGTGGGATGTAGATATCCAAGAGGAGTTGGACGGATGTCCATTACCTGTTGGGTGGTATTCTGATGAAACAATTCAAGAAACCCAAGAAGAATTGGACAAGTGTCCATTACCTGTTGGGTGGGATGTAGATATCCAAGAGGAGTTGGACAGGTGTCCATTACTTGTTGGGTTGTATTTTGATGAGGAGATTCAAGAAACCCAAATAGAATTGGACAATGAACACATGTTCAATTGTTCTTGGATAGTTTAATTCCTTTGTCAAAATACAACCCAACAGGTATTGGACACCTGTCGAATACCTGTTGGATACCTTCATTCTGTCCAACATGTAATGGGCATTTGCTTATTATTAACTGGTTATGACTCAAAAAGGTTTCTCCTTAAATTCTTAATTTTGTTAATTCAAGAAAGGTTAAACAGAGTCTGAGATGTGTTGAGTTGTGTTTTCACAATTCAGTTTTTTTTTTGCACTTAGGTATTCATATATTTTAATATTAGATATTTTGAAATATACAGGTGTATATCCTTATTGCAAAGAACAAATTAGTTAGGTGATACAATAAAAGAGCTATATCACAGAAATTGACAAAAATATGGGTTCAAAACCAAAGGTTTTCAGTCTTGTCTGAATTTACCAGCAAATATTAAATATATAATAAATTTGAAATAAATAAAAGACAATAAGAAAGAAACCAATAAAATACGGACACGAGGATTAATATCCAATAAGATTTGAACAGTAACTACCCAAATAATGCTCTCTCGTGTGTACACTTTTTTTGTATCCAATAAGCAGTATCCAATAGGACTTGGACTTGATGTACCCAATATATAACCAAATGTGTGTCCGTCCGTCTGTCTGTAAACAATTTTTCAAAAAAAAAAATTTTCAATATAACTTGGCACACAAGTAGACTACACTAAGATACATAAAATAGTGCATCGGTTTTTGATTTCGATGAACGATGTTGCCATGGTTACTAAAAATAGAATTTTCTGTGAAATTTCTTTAAAACGCTACTCCTTCTACAGTTTTGATCTGATTTCAATATAACTTGGCACACAAGTAGACTACACTAAGATACATAAAATAGTGCATCGGTTTTTGATTTCGATGAACGATGTTGCCATGGTTACTAAAAATAGAATTTTCTGAGAAATTTCTTTAAAACGCTACTCCTTCTACAGTTTTGATCTGATTTGAATATAGCTTGGCACACAAGTAGACTACACTAAGATACATAAAATAGTGCACCGGTTTTTGATTTCGATGAACGATGTTGCCATGGTTACTAAAAATAGAATTTTTTGTGAAATTTCTTTAAAACGCTACTCCTCCTACAGTTTTGATCTGATTTGAATATAACTTGGCACACAAGTAGCATACATTAAGATACATAAAATAGTGCATCAGTTTTTGATTTCGATGAACTATGTTGCCATGGTTACTAAAAATAGAAGAATTTTCTATGAAATTTCTTTAAAACGCTACTCCTCCTACAGTTTTGATCTGATTTCAATATAACTTGGCACACAAGAAGACTACACTAAGATACATAAAATAGTGCATCGGTTTTTGATTTCGATGAACTATGTTGCCATGGTTACTAAAAATAGAATTTTCTGTGAAATTTATTTTAAACGATACTCATCCTACAGTTTTGATCTGATTTCAATATAACTTGGCACACAAGTAGACTACACTAAGATACATAAAAGAGTGCATCGGTTTTTGATTTCAATGAAGGATGTTGCCATGGTTAATCAAAAAATAAAATTTTCAATTAAATTACTTTTAAACGCTCCTCCTTCTACAGTTTTGGTCTGAGGGCAATGGTTTCTTTTCTCATCCTTTGTTATTAGTACAAACCAGTAGAGCTACAGTCTTGACAGAGACTTCTGGTTATCGATACACAGTCGCCAAGGATCTAAGTGACATTTAATGCATTGTTAACTAAAACTGTGCAGTTTCAGTTTTTCAGAAATTCACAGGGCCAAGTAAGGCAAAAGTGAACCTTGTTCTTTACTATGGTTATGTTGACTTTTAGCTCAAGCTATTAACCATTTATTTTAATAAAACAAAAAAATCTCTGCAAGTAATTTCCCCATATACATAACAAAAACCTTATGTACATGTAGTAATTACTGCACACTATTCAGTTATTACAGCAAATTCTTTATTAAGATATTTTAAACACCGTCACTACATCTCAGTCGGAATATGGCACTTGCTCTGTAACCTGTTGGGCATGGGTTCAAGTCGCGGCTGTGACAATCATAATTTGATAAAAATAGGGAGCATTATAAATTGTTTCTTTGCCAGGCTCTCAGCTTTTTGCGGGACCTAAAAGTCAAGCCCCGTGTCAGGGTAGGCACTGGTTATAAAAATCCATCACTGCTAAAGCCAAGTATGGTGACGTCTCTTATGAATAAAAATTCTTGAATGGGAGATAAAACAAAATAGTATAATCGTTATATCATTATTACACAGCTATACATAAATGATACAAATTCAAAAAAACATTGCAGAAATTATCAAGATCTGGTCATTTTCAGAGTAAATTTTTTTTTATTCTATCACAAAATGAACTCTAAAAAGTCTGTAATTGTCAACTTTTTTCCTAATGAATAATTTTTTTAATTCTCTAAAATTTTTTTTTTAAACAGATAACAATTCAGGCGTCGGATGGGAGAGGCAGAGCTAGAAATGCCACGGCCAGAATTACCATCACACGTTTATCTTCAAATAAAGATTCTTTTTATTCAAATAATACCTGCAGTGAATTAAATATGTATGCCCCACTGTTCACTGCCCCATTGTATTTTGTTAATGTGCTGGAGGGCGACTACTCTGTAAAGTCTCAGCTGCTCTTACAGGTATGTTGTGACATAACAAATACTGTATATAGAGGGAGGTTTTTTATTAGTCGTTTTATATAGAGAATAATACATACCGTTTTCCATATCACATCTTGTATCAGCCTGAGACATATATATCAGCCAGAGGGCCGAAGGCTTGAGGGCTGATATTGGTCGAAGGTTGATACAGGATGTGATATGGAAAATGGAATGTTTTATGATGTTTTTTTACATACTTAGTCATTAAATACAGTACACATTAATTTGAGAAGAAAGTAAATAATTATGCACGGACTTCGTACATGTACACAGTCTATTTTCTTGAACGGTTTAGGTTTGTTTCTACTTCTATTTAAGATGTGTCCGATCATTAATTTAAAAATAATCTTTTATTTTTCCATTAAATTATCCTTTCAATCTTAAAGTTAAAATTAACAGAATATGTACCCCAAAAATATTAGTATGATCACTGTTTTGGAGGGTTTTTTTAACTAGGGGTGTGATATTGATCCGTATAAGCCCCGCAAATCCATATCCATAACCATATCCATATCCGTATCCATAATCCATCCAGTCCTGGAGGGTTGTACTAGAGTTAGGATTTAATATGAATTTCGAAACTTTTCGTAAGATTTAATGTTTAAGAAATTTTGAGAAAAAATTTTAAAAATCTGAATATCTTAACATAATTATCTTTCATGCAACCTTTCCAAAGGTTTTTTTTATTATGTACAATTAGCTAGAAGTAAGGGTGATTGAAATTTGGATTCAAATTTTACATGCAACAGGGAGGGAAAAAATTCTCCAAAAAAAGAAACTTTATACTAGTCATTGTTTATGAAGCAGTCACTATCCTTTGCGTATTCAAGTTTAGTCAAGTCCTGACTCTTGGGCTATTATTCGATCACAATATAGGTAATTTTACAGGAGCTAAAGTAGAAACATTACTTTTTATATAATCCTCCCAAGAACAGTCATGTTGACTTATACATGAGTATTATGGCACATTGATATCTTAAAATAAGGACGAATTAAAATACTAGTATTCAAATCTGAAAAATAGACCAAATCGTTCTGATAAAAAAGTTTATAAAAAATTATATTGTCTCCACAAAATATCATGCGCTGTAGGTTGTTGCCTCAGACGAGGACACTGGATTGAATGGTGAAATAGTTTTTGACATCCAAAGTGTATCCAACAACGGAGCCAAAAAGTTTAACTTAGATCAAAATGAACAAGATGGGAAGATTGCAGTTGTTTGCACCAGTAGAATATTTAGAGGTGAAACCTATATGATAATGCTCCGTGCAACAGACAAAGCTTTCCCAATTTATAGAAGAAGGTAAGTATTAAATCAGTATTGTACATGTTTCTTATATATGATTTGTTTCTCTTAAATATTGAGTAAATTGCAGAAAAAAGTAAAACAAAAAAAGTTGCTTAATTCTAAGGATTTTTTTATTAGCAGATGGATTCCTTTGACTTTGATTTTTTAAGAGTGTACTTCACAGTTATGCTTTGCAAATAATCCGTCTTGATTCAATTTTTAGATTTAACATTTATAACAAAGATTTAATATCTTTAATATTACAGAAGCACTTCAGTTCCAATAGAAGTTAAAGTCGGTCCGTATTTAGTACATTAATGTGGGTTAAAGCGGGTTCATTTCTGTAAGTTTTTTTTTCCACTTATCGATGCTGTTTTAATTGCTTAAGGATGTTCCTTCATTTTATCACGTGGCACATTGCAAAAATATATTTGTAATATTCGTATATCAAAGAAAACAGTGAAATTGTTGTTTTATGTTGATACACAATAAACAGTTGATGAGGTTAAGCTTTCTTGATTTTTTTGTTTGTTTTTTGCAGAATCTACCTCTTGTTATGACGAAAAAAAAATGATGAAAAGAAAGGGGTCAAGAAAAAAGCCAAACGTGGATAAATCAATTTAATACCCTAGAAATTATTCATGTTATATTAATGGTATTAAATAAAAGTTATTGTTATATTTTGGATTCTCCCTGCTTGACGGACAAATACACATATAAAGCGAGTCCAGTGTATTAATTAGATAAATAAAGCATTCCAATGTCATAATAGCTAAAAATAAATAACAATTAATCTGAAACGTATCAAATAACGATCCAACGATACGTTGTTTTTGCAAACGAGATAATTATACCAAATTATTTTTGAGATGCAGACTTTGAGCGTGATTTTGAATTTAATATTATATAATTTAATATTACTTGTAATACGTCATTTGATTGGATAAAAGATTTTATCCATTTTGTATAACATAACTTGCCTAATAAAATGAGATATGTCAAAAACGTATTACTCCGCTTGACGTTACTTTTAATAAATGTGAAGCCTTATTCTAGGGGAGCAATTGTCTCATTGTCTGCACTGAAATTAACTTACAAGTTATGAAGCTTATTTCAACTTATATTATACGATATAACAAAACTTGAGTCAGTTATTGCTTTTTTTAACCTCTTTGCTGTTTATAAAGAGTAAACTGCCCCAAGTTATGTTATATCGTATACTATAAGTTGAAATAAGCTTCATTCCTTAAATAATCATATGCAGCACACCTTACTGTAAAGAGAATATCGTAACTCATCATGAATCATGACCTTAATGTTCCTGCATACCAATTCAGTTATGTGATATTACAAAGATATGCTGGATATACCTGTATAAAAGGGGAAAACTAACGGTATTATAGCTGCACGAATTCACCAAGTTTGTAATAAAAGAGCTCGATTCACTTTATGCAGAAATTGGACCTGTAGATATACCAATTAATTGAACAACACTGATGTTCCTTTTGAAGCATCAAAATAAAATAGAGATTCAGTGCTTTCATTTCCTTCCAAATTTTTTCTTAAAAGTCCAATTCTTGGAGAACTGGCTTTATGAAGTTGTAATGTTTTAAGGTAAACATGTATATTTGAGTACGTTCAGTGAAGAAAAATAAATTATGAGCACACTCTCTGATCTACAAATTAAATATGTATTTTAATCTTAGAAAACAGTTCTAACACTTAGCAGTTGCATATTTAAGATCAGAGATTGCTTTCTATATCAAGTATAGAAAAATAGCTTTAAAAATTGGCCGTTTTTGTAGGCTTTTTTCAGAATATGAAGAAATTGACGCATTTTGTGATATCACAATGCATTGACTAGCCAGAAAATCACATCCCTTTTCATAGATATACGCAATCATCAAAGATCTAAGTGATATTAAATGCATTGATAACTAAAACAACGCAGTTTCAGTTTTTCAGACATTCACAGTGCCAAATAAGTCCATGAGTGAACTTATATTGTTAGTAAGCCATTAACTCTATGGTAAGTAAAGCATCCAGACATTAAACAATAACAGACTCTGTTGTGTCTTCATATTTCTAGTTTTCTTGGGATATATTGAGTCGACATATCAATAAAATGAATATTACTTGATTAAACGTTGTGAATATATCCATAAATGAAAGTATAAATGAAAGCCATACCATAAGATTTCTTCATAAAGCAGTATATGAGAGAGGTATTTATTTTAAAGGTAAAATGGTGGAGTTTCTAATCTCAAGACTACAAAATCATTGTCAATAAAAACCTGCAGCACCTTTTGAATAAGGACTTTAAGATTGCTTGTGTGTAGCATCCTTCAAAGAATTGAAAAAAATCCGAGTTTCATTTTTCTTGAAGACGTTGTCTATGACATCTAAAAATTCTAGAAATTATTTTATCTTGAGGAACAGTAAATGATTAAACTGTGAGCCATTAGTATTAATGCCATTGATTATGCTAAGAAATTGTGAATTCAGTTTTTTAAAGAGTTTTCGAATGTTCACGTTTAATTTAAACTTCGTTTTAGATCACTTCATTCGAAGAAACGGGGGAGCTTATGTTATCCCAATTTCTGCTTTATGTACCTTCGTTGTTGCTATTATTTACCTCTAACAATTTCATCTTTTCTAAATAGGAACAATGGGTCAAGTCAACAAAGCTTGACATAGAGTGTATAATAAAATAGGCATTCGGGTTTAGGTGTTCAAGGAAATGCCAACAGCTTTCCCAGGAGGAGATAATTAAGAAATATTGAAGAATAGATGAAGTCATTTAAAAAAACCTCGAGAACAAGAACAAAATTAAAGCCCTAAATGAAAGTTTCCTAACCTTGCGGATCCTTTTATAACTATATAAAGCATAGATACAAATAAAAGAACTTCAGATATGAAATGTTAAATTTCATTGTATACAATATTTTATTTTAAAAACTTTCTTATATTTTTGTTTTAAAAAAAAGATTAAAATCTTGCATTGTTTTCCAAATTTGGAAGCTATCAACAATAGATATCAAATTTATACAATTTTAGATTTCATAGTCCTCTGTCTTCACTGAAAATAAAACAAAATGCTAAACCCTTATTAGTGTAGACGTATCGTGTCATCTGAAGTATAAAATTCACCATATGTAATGGTTATAAGCCGAAAACTGTCCATTATGTCAGATATTAGACGACCCGAGGCGCGTTAGCGCCGAGGAGAGTCTAATATCTGACATAATGGTCAGTTTGAGGCTTATAACTTACTTAAAACATTTCACCACTGTCGAACACTTCCATTGTTAACTTATTGGACAGCAACAGGTAAGGTCTCGTTCTGCTTGGATGACTACCTGGCACTGTTCATCAAGTTAGGCCAAAGAAACCCAGTTTGGATTTTTCTTCTGTCTTTATTAATAGTAGGAATCATCGAGAGGTGTTTTATATAGATAAAAATGAACATTAACTTTGTTTAGCCTTATTTATCCGCATTGCGACATTTTTTATATATACTACGCATGCGTAAAAGTCAGTTCTACTAAATTCTTTACAATTTATTCATTTTACAACGCAACGACCACGGATGAAGACGTACATTTTAATTTCGAATAAAAGTCTCAGAATCGGGTGTTTTGACGATGCCATTTATCGATTACACCAAGATGCCTCAGTTCAGGTTTTTACTGTGTAATCCGGATATATATTCTTATGTTTCGGAATTTGCAAGAAACAGTTCCCGTTAAAAGGTAATTTTTGCAAAGCAATAGGATTTGAAGAATTTTACTCAAACAACTGTTTAAGCATTTTCTATGAAATTGGGAGATTATTCCTGATGTATTTTTTAAAAACGCAATTCTCTTGTGTGAGCAGGTTTCGAACTCTGAAGGATTTTACTCCAGCCACTCCTTAAAACGACAGATACTCACTTAAACGACGCAGGACTAGGTGGACAAATGGTCATAAATCACCGAACGAAATTACAGATTCCGTTGGAATTTCGTGAGCTAAATTTTGTGCTAAATGCGGAAAAATGGATATTTCAATAAACAAAAAGCCCAAGGTTGTGTGTAAGAAAACACATGCTTCTCATTCATCTTTTGTGTCCGTTGGGTTCTATATATGTTCCATGGATCAATCATTGTGAAATGAATCTATTATATAGCAATGAACGGTGAATTTTGGAAATTTATGATCTGAGCCACGGATGCGTTTACAATAATGTATCTGAGACATTCAATTCACTATATTATTTGTGCCATTTTCAATAGGATTTTTTGTGAAATACTAACATTTAACGCTACTAATTTCCTACATTGTTCATATTAAATTGTTTAATTTGTCATTGCCTTTTAAGTGGTGTTTACTTATTTGCCTCGCCCTTTGTTCTCATTTTAACGTTACCTGTACCTGTCCAATAAGTTGAATCTTATTGGACACCTACAGGTAACTTATTGGACGGGGTGCAGGACAATAACAAATTTACTGAACCAGGTTTAACAAAAGATGACGTCACAAAAATGTTTTAATTTCTATTATACACGATACATATATTTGCAAATTCAATTTAACGAAAATAAAACTCGATATCAAGATTAACAGTATATGTTACTGAAGTCATTTGTTCATAAAATTTAAATCAAAATCAGAATTTTGCACCAGGTACATATAGATCGATATCTTCCATAATTTTAGATTTGATTCATACATGTATATACCTTTCATAAGAACGTAAAAATAACATAAACGCTGTATGTATTTATAATATCATAATTATCGAAAATGTATGTAAGTGTATGCATTTGGAAAGGACATTATACTGAGAAATTTTAGCTGCAATAAAATGATTTTCAAAAATATTAAATTCACAACAAAAATATTTGAATATACACCTATACATGATTGCTTTCTAGACAAGTTGTCGTTCTTTAATCCCAGTCGGAAAGTTTAATGTCAACAATGAAAAATCAAAACAATGTAAGGATAATTTTATTTTTAAAAAAGGTAGGTCGTGTAGTTTTATACTTGAATTCGTTTTATTCTTATACACTAAAGTAATGGAATGTCAGTATTACATTTCTTAAAGTAATGGAGACATTTATTTATAAACGTACATGTATATTAATAATGAAAAGAAATACTTTCATTTCAAAGATTTCAATGTTTAATTTTTAGAATCTAGCTGCATTATTAATTTTACAATTGTAGACTTTTTTCTCGACATAATTAACATTAAGATGTCAATTAATTGAATATTAGATACTTGGACCTGTTGACTTACAAATCAAAACGAAAGTAGTTGACTATATTAAATTTTCCAGGTGTTATAACATGGCTTCTTCCTCCTATCAAAAGATAAACTCTACGTCAAAACCCAACCACTTGTTCGTGGCAGCTATTGACTTTGGGACGACATATTCGGGGTATGCCTTCTCTTCAACTGCGGACTGGGAGAAGGTACATACAAATATATGGAGGGGAAATAAATTAGTGTCTCCTAAAGCCCCAACAGTTGTTCTGTTAAACCCAAATCAATCCTTTAACTCGTTCGGATACAATGCGGAGAAAGCCTATGGTGAACTTGTCGAGGAACAACCAGAAGATCCAGGAAAACCAACATACAAGGATTACTATTATTTTCAGAACTTTAAGATGAAGCTTCACAATACTAAAGTAAGTTCTTGAAACTAACCATTGAATACAGTAATTATTAAAAACCCCTAAGGGTGAGTAGAAGAATCTTCAGCCTGATTTAAAATCAAATATTTGCAAAATCAAGTGCATCAAAAGAAAAAGGAGCTTCGTAGTGAAAGGAAGAACCTACACATACATGTATATGTATTTATTAATATAAGAATTATGCAAATCCTTTCATCTTTACATGACTTTTTGGAAAGCTAATGTTGTAAAAATGTGCAATTTTGTCCCCGTATATCATTATGCTGAAGAGTCGTGGTGTATGACAAATCTTTGATACATGAAACTTCTTTGCAAAATGTGTACAAATAAAATCGTACTGTTCTTTTAGAACGTGACAGAAGGTACAATTATTGAGGATATTAGAGGGAAACCTATGCAAGCATTAATTATATTTGCCTACGCCATACGTGAACTGAAAAACAACTTGATGGAACAATTACAAAAAGCTTTTACCGATGCCAAAGAAAACGATGTTTTGTACGTTTTGACTGTTCCTGCAATTTGGGATGAAAGGGCCAAACTGTTTATGCGAAAGGCAGCGAAGAAGGTAATATGTTCATTGAACTAGTGTTGCATGTTTTATTTACATTCAGGTTTGATTCATTTATCCTTAAAACTATATTTTACGATTCTGTCAAATTACTGTTTGGTCTACTATGCTGAATAATACACTATTTGTAAATGTAACTCAACGAGGGAATTGACAGATCAATCTTGATTTTAAAAAGGCAGGTATAGATGAAGAAATGCTACTTATAGCACTTGAGCCAGAGGCGGCGTCTGTATTTTGTCAAACACTTCCCTTCCACATTGAAGATGTTGGCCAAAAGCAACTTGTAAAGCCAGGCACCCAATACATGGTAGCTGATTTAGGAGGTAGTGACTTACTAGTATCTAAAGAAAATGTTCGTTGCTTGAATTACATAACATTTACAGTATTTGAGCTAAGTTTCTTCACAAATTTAAACTAAAAACGATTGCTTCAAAATCTTAGACCGAAAAACTTGGGGATCTCAAAATGCACACTCTTGTACACATACAGTAGCATTCTCCATATATCTGACTGTATCGAAAAAAATCATTTTGAATGTTTTTTTATAATTTTATTTTTAATCTGAAGTACAGAATTTGATCATTTAAGGGGGAACTGCTGATTTAACAGTCCACAAAAGAACAGAGAATGGTAAACTAAGAGAGCTATGGAGAGCATCCGGGGGTCCATGGGGAGGAAAAAATGTCAATGAAAATTTTCTTCAATGCATTACAAACATTGTCACTCCCAAAGCAATGGAGAAGCTCAGGAAAACAGAAATGGATGACTATTTGGATCTATTGGAGGAAATTGAAAGCAAAAAGAAAAACGTTAATGTTCAGAAAAAGTCTTTGACCATCACCGTGCCTTTATCTGTCAGTGAATGTACTAGTGATGAGACAAATTATAAGACCTTAGAAGACGCAGTTGCTGCTTCCACTTATTCTTCTTCTATTACAGTTAAGAAAAATAAGTTGACGTTCATGAAAAATGTATTAAATGAGCTCTTTGAGCCCATTGTTGAAGAAATTATAAAGAAAATGAAGGATGTTTTCAGTCATATTGAATCGGAAATCCCATATATTCTTTTAGTGGGTGGCTTTTCTGAATGTGAAATTGTAAGAGAAAAAATACGAGAACAGTTTCCCTCTAAGACCATCATTGCTCCCCTGGAGTCGGGGCTTATTGTCCTGAGGGGTGCGGTATATTATGGTCACCTTCCCGAGCCGATCTCCGTGCGCTGTGCTCCCTATACCTATGGCATTCAGTCCTGGCCTCCCTTTGATCCCCTCCTACATCCAAGAAATAAAAGGGTCCTAATTAATGGCGAAGAACGCTGCAAAGATGTCTTTTTCAAATTTGTTACCATAGGAGATGCCATAGAGCCAGGTTGCACTAAATCTCAGAATTTTCAGATTTTGGACACGAAGCAAACATCTTTGGAATGCATTGTTTATATTTCAGAAGAGGAAGATCCAGAATTTGTAGATACTTGTACACCCCTCCTAAAATTAAGTATACCTTTGAAAGACTTCAGAGGCAGAGGAATTGTAGAAATAGAAGAGTCGTTGATTTTTGGTGAAACTGAACTTAGAATAAAAGCTAGAGACCACTGGTCTGGTATGGAATATGTAGTTTCAAAGGAATTGGCCACAAGAATCTGAAAGATTTGCAGATATATACATGTATCTAGGATCAATAAAACAAAAGCATTTCTTTTATGTATGGCTGTTATATTTGAAATTATAACGTGTTGTTATTAGTCAAACAACAAAAAACATGTAGTACAAATGTAATTCTTCGCTTGTTTTTGTAATTTGTCATATATACCTCCTCTTGGCATGAATGAAAGTGGAAAAAATCATCATCTTATTCAAAATAAAACAAGGATTATCTTACTTTGACTCTGTTCTTTTTATTGGCTGTTTTCAATATCGAGACGATAGGTTTGTGGGTCAATCTTTGCTTTTCTGAAGGAACGAGAATATTTAGTGTAGCTTTCTCTTCTTGCAGTTTCTTTTGCCTGTCCTCTTGCAATTTTCTTGATTCTTTTATCTCCATCCAAAAACTCACTAGAAGGGATGGATATATATGGAATATTATATTAATGTGAATATTTTATTATCAAATATATTTAGAACATTGTTAATATAATAAATATGAATTGATCTAACCTTAAATCAATGTTTCCATCTTTATTTTTATCCAAGAATTCTATTATTTTATCCAGAACTAACTGAGAGACTGGAATACCGGCTTTCTAGAAAGGAAATATTTGCTTTCAAGATTTTATCATTTACATTATAAGTTGTACACAAATAGTACAGAATGAATTCCAAAAAATTGTAAAGGCAACCTGATCTCAGATTCATATTTTACTTTCTTCACGTCGCAACACCTTATTTTCGCGAGATAGCCATTGACTCTTTATAAGCGAGACAAAATTTTAACGAATTATGGTCATTGCTCTATCTAATCTAAAGGAATACTATTATCCGCGAGAATGAAATTTTCGCGAGCATATTACGCAAAAAAGTTCTTGCAAATAAATAGTGATTTACAGTATATGCACTAGCCAAATTAAAGTGTATTCACTGTTGCATCAAGTTATAACATTTTTTGAAGAAATACTCTTTAATGTGGTGTTCACTTAATTAAGCATAAATAGTTTATATGCCACATCATTTGAATTTTGTCTAATTAACGTTTCTGTCTTATTTCTCAAATACATGTGTACTAATGAGGTTGCCGACATGTAGATACTGTAAAGTTGTTGACTGTATAGGACTTACCTTGAAGAGCTCTCTGAATTCCTGGTAAGACAGAACATCATCCCCGTCCCTGTTGATCTTGTTAAAGAAGTCCTGGGCCCTGTTCTTCTCCTTCAACATAAACAGAAGGTTCAGTGGGTCAAGGTTGAAGAGCCAGGGCGCCCTGACCTCCTCAGACAAAGTTTGCTGATCTAAGGAGGGGACAGAGAGACACCTGTCGTACTCCACGTGTACATGTCTTGTCCTCTGGACGTTTCTTACAATGTCCAAAAAATCGTCATTTACAACTATTCTCTGAAATTGAAACATATCTCTGCAAAGATATAGTTTTATTATCTGTCATTATCA